ATCTGAATTACATTTAAAAAATATATCTAATGCTAAATTCAATTCCCCACGGATGAATATCTCATTTCGGTAGAATTAATTCACAAAACGAAGTAAGTCTGACAAAAATTTTTCGTAAACTAATATACATTAGAACTAATAAACACCAATATAGTACCGTATTTTTAAGTTTTTTTTATTTTTCTTTGGGTAAATTCGGGTTTTTACAGCTATTATATTTATATATATAAGCGGCTTTGTTATGACTGAATTAACGTAGAGCTTAAACTATGATAGGTAAAAACTTGAATTTTCTACAGTATCTATGGTTTATATTATTTATAATGAAAATACATATCAAACAAGGATTTTGCGAAAATAACATTTTTAAAAAGGGGTTACACAAGGATTATACAGTTAATGAAAAACGATTATTATTTTGTTTGTATATAGAGTTGTCATTGCAGGTTACAAAAATTTCCATTAACTATTTAAAACACTATAGGCATTTTCTGAAAATAATGATCACAATAATTATTGCGATTTCAATAATAATTACATGGATATAGTCACATATCTTAGTATTCAACTTATGCTGGATTTATCAAACTAACGGTAGCAGGAGAATTGTTCTTTTATTGTTTTGAAGTATACCGCAATAGTGAACTTCACAAGTATTTGATAATAATGACATCATTAAACTGAGTACTAAATAACTTATTGAAAAAGTTTTTTTATTATTTATTCATTACTATAATATACATAACATATACATATCTTCTACTTTTCGTCCTTCACTTCAAATTATTTGGGGTCGGCCACTCCTACACTACAGTCTACACCACCAATTAGGCTTTGTCTCCTGCCAACGTTTTACTCATGCCAGCTATTTTCATGTCATTCTCTATTCTGTAAAGTGTTTTCATTATTCATTATAATACATGAATTTATTAATTTTAATAGGTTAATTTAAAAGATAATTGATATTTACAGTCATATAGAAATAAGTTTTATTCATGCTATATTTCTGAAACAAAGTTATCACAAAGAAAATTTCAATATTTTTAATACTATTAAACCCGAGCTTTGATCATGAGAATATTATTTTATCTTGCTACTATTTCAAAATCCTTTTAAACTAATTTTATTAATATAATATCTTTGACAGATTTTTAATGAATTTATTTTCTGTGATAATTAACCAGAGATTTTAAGATAAATGCAAATCGTTAAGTAGCATTTTTATAATATTATATTATATAGTTTTTAATATGCATACCTCCTAACGTTATAAAAATTTGACGATAAGAACAATGTATTTTAAAAAAAAAATATATAATTTTTTTTTTCTAGTATTATTAATAATTTATAAGATTAAATTTAATTTAATATCATTGTAATGTTTTGATAATTTCAATTGTTTGGATTAAATAATTTATCAAATTAATCGGGCAATTTAAAAAAAAATAAAATAATATTTAATATTAATTAAACGTATGGTATTGGTTTGTTAGTTTAATGTTTCAAACTTTCAACATGTCAGTTAAAATGTACTTAATATTTTTCTCGTGCTATTCTGTATTATAATTTATAATAAACGAACCCGTCACAATTCCCGTCCAGGAAAACTCGTAATTTAATATTTCACCAACTATCAGAAAAATCCCAAGTCTCTCTAATGGTTATAAGGGTAAAAAGATATGTATAAATATACACACTCACACTTAATACATTATGTTTATTATATAATATTACAGTGTATGCATTCAGAACAGATTGAACCTATCAAACAGTCGTTTATCTGGTCTATATGCATGGTTAACGTTTAATATGTATGCACGGATCGTATATTAATAAAATGGATTGACAGTAACGTCCTGTTTTGTGGTACGTTGGCAGATGAGATATTGATCCGAAAACGGTACATACCTCTCCACTCTCCAGACCTCCCCACCCAACCAACATGCATCCATGACTCGAGGCCGCAACCATCCCTGCCAGCCTACCCATCGAGTCCATAACATAATTGTTGTATATTATATATAGGCACATATACCTTTGCGATGTTGACTATTATTAATGAAAATAGCCATATTAATAATATTATCCTTAAAAATAAAATAATAGTAATTTAATCATTATATCAATGATATTAATCGTTGTAAAACTTTGCGTGACAAATTGTAAAAATCAACAATATATATATATAAATACTATAGTCGTCTGTATACTGAAAATAATTAGTGACGTAAGTAACGATGAATCGATTACACATATTTATTATTTAGATTCAATACCTAGAGTTATACGTTATACACAAAGTTAAACGTTCAGCGAATATACTTACATATCGAAGTATATCTACTTATGTTATAATTTTAAATTAATTATCATATGGGTAATACGTTAAATAAAAACTTTTAAGGATACTATAAACAAAAATGTAATCGTATCCACTTGTAAATATTTTTAACACCTTTTGAAAAAATAGTTAAAACATAATAAATAAATAAAAAAACCTTCATTCAACTACACTGGTGTATTATGCAAATATTCAGACCCTTTAAATTTCCTTTTTATTTTTATACGGTAGTAACTAGTAAGTAGTAAGCAGTAAACATCCATTTGACCCTCTATGATTTTTGCAGTAAATACCGTTGAGTAAACCACTCGTTCATTACGACTCAAAGAAAATGTCAATAGAAAGTACAGAGAAGTCATTGTTTGGTTTACAATGCTTGATTTCTAACAATTTTAAAATTAAATTATCGATGCAAGTAAATTCGATTTTAGTTCCATATAATATGTTGTTGATTGTCTTCTCTATGTTTTTTAATCAACACAATACATACAACTAAAGAATAAAAACACAATAATAAACAATTATTAGGGTCGTAATTGCCGTTCTGTACACCCACCAGTAGAGCAAAACTTTATGAATTATGACACATTACCACCTATCAGTAATTAAAATACTCTACGACATAATCTAGTGTCAAATTTATTTCATGTGAGTGTATGTTTGACATAGGTAACTCGTAATAATATCACCCATCCTTTAACACCCTTCTCGCTCTATCTGTGACACTTATGTACACCATGCACTCATATAACGGGTGCACATAATATACGAGTTTAAACATTAAAACGATATATTATGTTTAACGAAACGTTTATAATTTTTCTTCCAGTTATTATAGATATGGTTATTATCATACAGAAAATATATACTAATCCGTCTTGCCGTCTTGGTTTTTATAATAGATTCATACTAGATCGTAGGTACTTCTAATAAAAGTTCATTATCATTCATGTAATTGTAAATCGATCCCTAAGCTTATCTCTGAGTAAAATTTGCATTTTCTATGATAGTTAACCAATCATCGAGTGTTTTAATGACGTAAGCAATATAATATTGAATTTTAAACTTTTAACAATTTAAAACTATTCGATGACTAGTCAAAAGATTAATCCCAGATGATGTGGCTCTAGTAACATAAAAAGTGAACGTGGCAAAAAAAAAAATAGAATATAAAGTCTATATCTATATATTCGAGAAATGTGGTGCAAATAAATCGATATGGAAATGCTAAAATTAAATATAAAAAAAATGTCCATTATATTTAAGTGGATATATTTATACATAAATTAATAAAATATATATTATTACCTTAATAAATTATGTTCTAAATCACAGCAAATTATCCGGATTCATATTATTAAATAATGAATGAAACTTTAATTGTATCTATCTATGCTGAATTAACTATCACGTTTAACGTAGCAAAAACTTAATGGAATATTTTCATAAGATTTTGTAACTTGTTAACATTTAAAATAATGTACAATAGACGAATAAAAAAAAAATATTTTTTTTCATTTGGTAGATAATATACAAGCACTAAAATCCTATTACAAGTTCGCTATTTATGATTTTCAAACACTAGTATGTTTGTTTTAACTGTATCTAGCTATTATTTTTTTAAATTTTATTGAGGTTATTTTCTTTTTATTTGTGTTTTCGTAATCGTATTTCACATTTTCTGCGGTTAAACGGCGTTTGAAAATCACGTCGATGTATCTATCTACATATCTACTACGATTATAGTATAAAGTATAATATGCACATAATTATTTATCGAGTAATCTGTCTGGTAAAATACCTAAGTATGCTGTGTAGATATAGAGAGCAACTCGAGTATTGTGCGCATGGTGCATATAAAATACAATTTTTTTTTTATATTTTAGTCGTAGACTAATAGCTATAAAGCTAAAAACGAACCAGGCAAAAAACCGTCATTTAAAAAATAGGCAGAAATCATTTTTTAATATCCAAAACATAATGCGACAGAACACGACATATTTTATACAGCCGTACCTATATCTACAACGTATGCAAATCGTCCGCGACAAATTTATTTGCATAATATTCCCATCCCAATCCCATCTATAGATATTTCATGTCATGCCTGTACTGCACGTTACACTGTACAATATGTATATTTCTATTGTAGTATTATTCTAATGGATAAACTTATATATACGTTTTTTAGTTTGTACGCTTTACACGTTGTTGGACTTGTCGCACTTGATATTCTGACGACTCGGACTCGTGGTTTATTTGCCCGCGAGATCGTTAGAGATACGTTTTGGAATTTTAACGCAATATTTTAGGACGCTGTGAAAATTTTGGCTCAAGTCGTCGGTAGCGCCCAGAGGACAATGCATCGTGTTTTCCGCACTGCGATTATTACGATCTCGTCATAACGAGACCAAACAAACGTAAAGGTTAGGTTCACTAGGAATCTTTTATCGTTTGGAATAAATTTTGATACAGCCGTTACGGTCTTCACACGATTCCTCAAATTTTCGGAATCGTTCTCAAACCGCGCGCGTGGTACGATGACGACCCGTACACGACCGGGTACGGCTGACACGAAACGTAACCTGCTCAATGGCACCCAATACGACGCGCTCATTTATACAGTATACGATCGACGACGTAGTACTCGTGTACTCACTTTTCTTGTACAGTAGCCGAGTTGACGAGCACGACCTTGTGGCGTTGGGCAACGGCGGCGGTATACGATCATTGGTGTCCGTGTCGCGATGCTGCGGTTGTTCCGGCGGCGGCGGTGGCGGCGCGCATGTTACTCGTAAGGCCGGCGTGTGACGAAGAACCGACGGGGCGGCGATCCGCGTTTGCTCGGCGGTGCGTACGTCGTTCGCGCGTGCAGGGTGTCGCGGCGGCGTCCGGCTGGCTGTCTGCGCTCGGGCGGCGCGGGTCAGCGTAACGTCACACACTTGCGCGTTCAGCGGGCGCGTAAGTCGTGGCGGCGACCGCGACAGACTGGTGTTGCACACGCGTCGTTGTACGCTGCGGCGGCGGCGGCGTCAACTCCGAACGACATCTGTACCCCCGAACGCGAGAGGCCCACACTGAACGGCTCCGCTTTGAAATCCGACGAGCGTCGTGTTCAACAACCAAAACGGAATGATCAATATTTCTGCCCCTGTTGGCGCCCGCGGCGGATACGTGACGCGCGCCCTGCGGCCGCCGGCAAGAAATACAAATAATTTACTGTCCGCCGCGTATATGCGCGCACCTACGTGACGTGTGTACGCGAAGAGCAGTAAATTTTTATCTAATTTTTCGTCCGATCGAGACGACATGATTTCCGCGCACAGCCGATTTATCTGCTTCTACTCCGCCTCAAACACCGCGGCCCCGGCCAAAGGTTAACGATTGACCCCCCCCCCCCGTGTCATGAACGAGCCCGGCGTACAGGCCGAATGTCTCTTATGCGATCAAAAGCTTAACCTTTATTTATTTTTTTTTTTCGATTTTTATCATTGACAGTTTTTTTGTCTATAATTGTTACTACGTATAGGTATGTGTAATGTTTGAATTCCGACGTACAACGGTTTTTGAGTTGTCGAACTGTTCGTCGCTAATTTACACGCAATACAAAACGGGTGTAATTGTTGCGCCATGTCCGGCCGTCGTTAAAGTTAAGAAGGGTGATGAGCTTCGATGATGATGATTTGAAAATTATAGTAATCAATAATAAGTAATAACTATTACTAATACATACGGTTCAGACGTTATGACGTGTAAAAATATTTGAGTGTACGTGGCGAGTACGAGATACTCGACCAAGATATTACACTGCGCGTCATTTGTTTTAGACCGTTATCTATTTCGCGTAAAACCATTATTAATAATAATCATCCAATTATAAGCTCTTCATTCGAATTTAAAACTACATTAAATGATCTGTTTTGAATTACACTAGAACCTCGATTAACCGTCAGCAGGGGCGTCATTTCAGATTATTTTTTAGGTGTGCGAGGTTTCAAGCAGGCCATTTTGAAATTTCACCAGGCTATATAAAAGTAAATATATGTACGCATTATCCTACTTTTAATTATTTCTATACATTTCATGGACCGAATCAACGCATCAATATAAATAGGCAGTAAAAATCAATTTAAAAACTAAAATATAATAAATAATTCACAATCATAATAATATAATTGACTGTACCTATATAGATACCATTGTTAAAAAATTGTCAATATGAAAATTAAAATACAATTTAAGAAGATTTAATTTTGTGCATTATCTCAGCAGGACGCAGGCTAATTAGTATATTATTTTAAAAGTAAAGGGTGCAACCGCATAACCTAATCCCCCTAAACGACGTCCCTGACCGTCAGTCTAGGAACGATTAAGCGTTCCGATTAAGCGAGCAACAGACATTTTTAAACATACATACATATTGTTTAATATTTTTTTTTAAATTATGACATGCATATTGATATAATTAGGTATTATTACTTATCGGTACATTATTATTATTTTTTAATTTATATATACATATGTACCTATCGGCTATTGCTATCTAGTAGATATTGCCGGAAAGTTTCGAATATATCTATTCATACACAAGGCGATAAGATTTTACTGCAACGCATAAATATCCGGTGCAAGTGTGATGCCTGACGGTTAACCGAGAAAGACGGTTAATCGGGGAGACGGATAATCGAGGTTCTACTATATTTACAGTAAAAAAACGCGGTTGTCAATTAAAAAAAAAACTTGATTGTATCTGGTAATATGTGTTTCATAAAATAGATAGATAGGTACGTATAATAATTCCGAAAATATAAATTATTAAAAAATAAAATATAGTCAGTATGCTTAGCAAATCACTTTATAAGATAGTTATATGCATTTAAAGCTCCAAGCTTTACATAATATTTATTATATTATAATAACGACACCTATAATTTTACATTTATATATTCATAAATCATAATTATAAATATACATATATGCCTAATATATTATTAAATTCGACGTGAAGTTGTCGTCAATCAACAGTTATTATTATTATTATTATATGAATAATATACAACAACGATATACATCGACCCAACGGATACGCATGACCCTGCCACCCATACGACCCACCATTCATAATTTACCAATTACATCGCTCTCCAACCGCAAAACGAAATATTAATACGCGTCGAGCATGATAATAATACACTGCCGAAAATGTGCATTATAACTCTTTATTGGCGTTCGGTGGCACTATCGTTTCCGCTTTTCACACGGAGTTTTCACTCTATTCGCCGCTCCGCCACAACAACACGCTCAGAACACTTCCTTCTTTGCCACTATCCACCGCTCCTTTCCGTCATCGCAATGGCATCGTCTCATTTCTAGACCACAGGCTTCTACCCCTCCCTACGCAATATCGGCCCTGACCACACTGCCAGCGTATCGACGAAAATAACCGATTTCGATTTTTGATGAGACGCCGACGTGACCGGTAGAATGCGCGTCGGCCGCCAAGTCGAGCAATATTGGAGGCACGCGCGCGTTCATCGTGGCGCCGCCGCTGTCTGCGTTACAATAATAAAGCGATCGCGCGCAAAACGTCTCTTTTTCCCGTTAAACGTTATTGCACCTCCGTAGTCGATGTGTCGTTCTTAAAGGCGACGCGTATCGCACAGTAATATGATGATGACGTACGTACAATCGATTTATACGTATTATAATATTTTGTACTCCCGACACGAAAATTAGTTACACCAAACTTGCAGGCCGCAAGCGGATAAAGTGTACAATATTGTAACATTTAAATTATATCATGTACTGTCGTGCTGGTCGTGGTTTTTTTTTTTTTTTGTTCGCGATACCGAATAATGATGGTAACGAATCGATAATAAAGAAGAACTGAAAAGGGGGGAAAGTAGACGTTAACCGCACACTGGTCTAGAATAGGAATTTCGAGTGTACCTACCGTCATTACCGTCATTGAGTAGGTCACTGCTGCGCTAATGGATATGTTAAACTTAAATTCAATGATAAATCGTTGCATACATAAAAATGATCCTGAACGGAGACGGTCTATCAGCGGTCATCCTATAATAAATTATCGTCTAATAAATATATGACTGTTAATAATTATTATGGTAATTTATTTCACTATTAGTAATGCGTGGTATAAACTGTAAATAGGCAATAACCGAAAATTAGTCTAAATGTTTTGAAAATATCTTCGTATATTATATTATAAAATATAATTATATAATACGTAAAATTCAAGTTTGATTTCAAACCGTCTACAGTTTTAATGAAGCGAATAGATAATTTCAACTAAAATAAATACATGTGTTAAAAAAAAAAATGAATGAAATGGGTTTTTTTTGTACCAATATTTATTTTATAATAAATTAGAAAAAGAATTATTGAGCTCTATCAAATTAAATGTTTTCAATAATTTGAATTGAAATTATTGACGAATTTATTAATCTTTTTATTAATATTATTAGTAAATTAGTTAATTAAAATTGATTATTCTACCATCAACATTAAATAATTTTCGTTGTATACATACATAAAGACCATAAAGTTTCTACAATTTATGTTAATATAATAGAGCTGGTATTTAAACTTTAAAGGCATGTACTTATTGAAATTATATCCCGTCGAATTTTAAGTGTGATTCATCTTCATCAAAAAATATGTCACTAGTAATTATCACATATTTGGTCTATTCCTTATTTATCGCCAACTTCACATGGCTACATGTTTACATACTTTCATTAGGTCCGGCAAATTTTTTGTGACATTCTGCTTCATATTATCATCCATGATTATTATATCGCCCATATGGGCAAACAGGGTATGATTTTTAAATAAAATAGCATAGTTGCAAAATAAATAAATAAAAAAAAAAAGTTGTTGTGAAACTAAAATTAATTATGTTTTTCCATGACTATACCTACTAAGCTACGTGTCTAAATAATTTTAAGCTGTTATTAAAAAGTAACTGTCAAAAATAAAATAAAAAACGGTTGGATTACAAACACAAATACTAAGCATATTATAAATATATTTATGTATCATAATTTTATCTATCACGATTAAAACGTCTAAAATTTTATATTATTAGCAAATTTAACTAAAATAAAATTATTTGTGGTAATAGCTAAAATTAACAATTCATTAAATCACACTTTTACGCTTTTATTTTTAACCAACTATTAAATTTCATACAATACAAAAGTTATTATAGTCACTAAATATAACTAGACTTAAAATTTAGTTTTTCAAGGCTCTAGTTAATATTACTTTTACATGTTAAAATATTTTATGAAAATGTATTATGTAATGTACTAAAATGTAAACTTATTAATTGAATTTTAGATTTTGAATTAAGTTGTGAATGTATTATTGGTTAAATAATTTTATGGTTTTATTTCCGTATTTTTTTATGACAATTGGGCCGAAAATACTTCATTTTAAGCTTTAGGGATGATTATTTAGTTTTTTGTGATGGTAGGAAGAGAGGCCAGATCATCAAAAGTAAACAAATTCTCAGTAATTATTTCAATAATCATAGGGGGAATGACATATGATTAGGAAACGGGGATATTTTGACGAAACATATTATTTGTTGTAATTCAAAAATTAAAAACGTAATGCTTTGAAATTTTCTTCGAAATATATTTTATATTAGAATTTTCTAAGCGTTGTATAATTTAAAATATTATTTTAGCTCTTTTTAAATTATTTAAGACTTTTGAAATTTTTTTTAATTTTTGTATAAATTTTTTTTAAATTTACAACCTTTAAAATTTAATACAATTTTTCATTTATAAATGCAATATACCTAATTATATCAGTATATTAGTTGGTAATGTTTGTATGAATTACTTATGTTTTGATATTTTATAATAATGGGTATGGGTACTATATATTAGGTATGATTGTATGTAATATACTTTTAACAAAACGTTAAAAAATTTTTATTCGTTTTACTTTAATCTTAAAATTACTAATAACATTCTATTATAGTTGAATGTATTTTATATATTTCAAGTTTTTCGAGTTATAAATTCTAATAACAAAATGGAGATTATTAATTTTAATTCTATCACGGGTAAGAATGAGGTCACTATTTAAATAATTTTTTTAAGTATGATCGACTGTTTTCAACAATTTCAATATTTAATTTAAGGACCATATACTTTAAAGTCGTAATTTTTGAAAAAATAATACGTTAATTACTATTATGTTTGTTTGAAAATATATTTGATCACAATTTATTTACTTAGATGTCTACGTAAACAAAAAGTTAGAGAATAATACCTATTGAAATAGAATAAATTAAGTATCTTTCATTATTTCAGATGATTTTATAGTGGACTTTAATTATAGTATCGATTAAAAAAAAAAAAAAGTAAAATATTTTACGAATCAGGAATTTTGATAATTTGTGTTACATAATATGGATGTATAATAGATATTGTTGAAAATCGTCAAATATTAACGAGGTGTAAGAGCTATTATTTCGTCGTCAATATAAAACCTTGATCAACACTACTAGTTTAAAAATAGAAATTTTCAGAAAAAAAGTTATATAATATTGGCTAAATCATTAAATTCTTAAAAGCCGTATTTTTTCTTTTTTTTCAAATTAAGTAGCTTCTTTCAACAGGCTTAGTTGTAAATACAATTAATTATTTTAATGAACCACAACAATAGTGTAAATTGTCTAGCTAAAATTCCGTATGATTTTAATTTTAGTATGGAAATATGTATTATTGTGAGTTATAACTTAAAATTAATGTCAGATACACAAGAAAAAACAATGCATATCACTTAGAATTAAAAAATTAAAAAAAAAAATGTTTTAGTAGAACCTAAGCGTGTATTTTTCTGTTTATCAATTAGTTTAACGGGTACAGAAGTTGCGTCAGTCGAATAATAACTATATAGTCTATGTAAATTATTTTTTCTTTGAAAAAAAAATTTACAATTAGAATATATGAAAAACTTCACATATATTAAGAAAGTGATGTTGGAGTTTATTCCAGACAAACATTGGGAACTTTCTTATAAATAAGGAAACTTGCTAACTCGTCCACTTCGTTTTATACATAAAAATTATTGTGATTTTGTAAACGTTTAATATATTTAGTAACCTAATATGCTCAAGTGGTGAGTTTTTCATATTTTTTTTTTAACTAAGTGGTATAAATAACCGAATAGATAGCGCCATAAGTATAATTATATTTTACCTTTCAGTTTTCGTTGGCAGAAGTCGAGTAGTACGCTTGTAGACTACACCTATATCTTCTCATTGAGATTCTTTAAACAATGGTGAAAATCAAAATCAGTTAGTTAATTTTAGTGTTTATCGTCGACAAACAAAATAAGCAACGTATTTTATATTTTATTATTATAGAACTAAGAACTATTTACACTATAAAATATATTGATTAAATAATAGTAGAATAAGTTTATTGTTTAACCGATAACATCGATAAATGCCAACATCTATACAGAATATACTGACAATGGGCAAAAATCGTGGTTCTCTGCTCGCTATTTACAAGATAATATGTATTTATCTTTAATTTTGGTATAAAGTCAACATTATGACCGTGGTATAAATTCGGTTAAATGCGTTCCTCATTGTTTACGGTATGCTCACGAACGAGTGACCATGATTTTAAGTTTTTACCGTCATCGGTTGCCAATGTTTGAGAAAACGCGACTGTCAGCTTTTGTGCCGTTCGATTTATGTCGTTCAAGCTGTTCTCGAGTTGTCATCATGAGTATTAATGTTGAAAATTGTTGAAATGTTTAGTAATAGTAATGCGACGAAATTCCATTGGAATGTTTAACCGTATAAATGTGTACTTTGCAAGCGTCACGTAATTACGTGTATATATATATTTATATAATATAGTGTTGTACAATTCAAATTAAACTTAGGTAAGTTAAATAATTATTATATTATACGCCATTCGTATATAGTCGGTATATCAATTTAAACATGAAAAATGCATAATGTGTGTTCATAAAAAACACTATTATTCAATTATAGAAGAGTACGTTAAAAAAAAAAAAATCCGTTAATAACAAATTATAAATCGCAACTATTCCGCATCTATAAGTTCTATATTTACTATACAAAACAACAATAAATTCCAGTGTACAATATATAATATATAATAGTATTACTGCATACTGGAATATAGTTTTTATACTTACGTACATTTTATCAGTGAAATTAGTGCATTATTGTTATTAATCACTTTCATTTGCCACTGCTTCAATTACGAATAATATTTTATCAGTAAAACAAAAACCACTCTAGACTGAACTATAGATCTAGTCATGTAAAGCTTGATAGCCAATTACTCAAACATAATCAAATTATAACACCTAAGTACTAATCATTTGTATTTTTAACTGTAAAAATTAATTTTATATGATGTGATGATAGTATACTAATAGTTAAATCGGAAAAACCAATTCAATTAAAACAAAATAATAATCAATTATTTACAAAATTTTAATAAGTAATACATAACTAAAAAAATATAGAAAAAAATATTAAGTATCAATACATTTGATATAGGTGGTACACTAGGTATCCATATAGTAAGAATTAGTTACTAATAATTATATCATAAAGTATTTATAGTAATTAATTAGTGTTAGTATTTATACTATTTACGATCGTTTTTAACACACAAATAAGTACGTATAAATAAATACTAACACACGTACAGATTTTATCGAGTGAAATAAAAAAACAAACGAGCATAATATAATGATGCAAGTTTAACATGTCTTTGTAATATATACATAATAACATGTAATATGTACGCGTATGACAAAATAATGAATGCGTTTATTAATAAATGAGCAAACAATTATTTACAATTTGATTCATAGGATTTTTCCGTGGTTTTTTGAGTAATATCGTACGACTGTTTAAGATTTTACTTTCTTAGATTGCTTCACTCGTCGACTTCTAAAACTTTAAATGTTTGTCAATTATTAAGTAGTTATTCGATAATTTATACCGTAAAATAGTCAGAAAGTGATTTAGCTATAAAACTATAAAATCGCCTACAGATAGGTAGTCAGGTAGACAAGATGTATAAAAGGTATAAATCTAAAAACTCTCTAGACCGTTTATACTATGTTAACGTGTATATATTTTGTTTCTTCGAAAAGACAAAAATTAATAAATTGACTAAGTGTATTGTGTTACAATGAATAGACGATCTCGATAAGTTTTTAAAAAATTTTCTGGCAACCTGCGGGTAACCTACGAAATTCACAATATAGCACGTGACGTTATCAACGAAAAATTAAGCTCGTAAAAATAGAAAAACAAAGTAAACAAGGAAAAAAAATTCACAATAATCAATATCATTATTATTGTCAGATCGTCTTCGTCCGACAAATAATAGTAACATCGTCGCGTCACTCAGTGGGTAAAAATGTAAAATTATGACATATTGTATTATATACAATAGATTGTGTATTGTTATATTCGGTCGCGCGTCGTTACATTATCACGTATTCCGGTATTCGTAACGAGAACGATGATAACACACATCAATAGGGATGTATCGCTGCGATTCCGATTCGACCGGACGACTGCAACGAACCGTTGTGACGGTACATCGCAGGTTCTTGCGGTGCCTGTGCCTGCTGGTGCTGATGCCTGTGATACGCTTCCGCATAGCTGTGCCTGTATCTGGGCGAAATCGGCGAGAGGCTGTCCTCGGGCGCCACCTGCACCGCTCGCCTGTCCGACATCGTTTCCCGTCTACTGCTGCCGTAACCACTGCCGCCGAGGTCTTGCTGTTGTTGTTGTTGTTGTTGGTGGTGGTGGTTTTGACGATGGGGTTTGTGCTGCGGATGTTGGTGATGGTGCGGGTGGCGATCCTCGTAAGCGTACACCGCCGATCGCCGCTTGTACTCTCGGCCGACTGATGTCGTTGGCGGCAGACCGTCGTCGTCGTAGTCGTCGTCGTCGTCCGCCTCCCGGATGTCCGGTTCGCCGCGCGCTCTGCCTCCGTAACACGGAGGCGGACAACAGCCACCGTCGTCTTCGTAAGCGTACGCGGCCGACCGCCGTTTGTAGTCGTTCGCTCGCGATGATAGTTCCGGCGGTGGCGGCGACACGTCGTTGTAACGATTCCGCCTGGGCGCGGCTCGAGGAGCTTCCGGTACCGCGGCCCGACGTGGTGAGTTTTTGCGCCGGTCTTCTGGTGGCGGTGGCCGGTAGTTGTGGTCCGATTTCGGGAAGTCTTCGGCTGAATAACTTCTCGGCACCAATCTGGATTCGTTGAGATCGTGCTGTGGAAATTCGAAAATAAAAAATACTGGTTTAAATTTTGATCACACTTCGTAATACATTTGTATATATTATCCATACAATCAATCATATAATATTGCGAGTTGTCCTAAAACGTGATAGGGTGCAAGTGAGTTACCGCTCAGGTAGAAACGAGTGGTTTTAAAGCCCAATAATTTTATGATTCTTGCACTTCCACCATAAATTTAGGACGAATATATTATATTTATTAAGTTATAATAGATATAACTCGTCCAATTAATCTAGGAACTCGGCAACCGTTGTAGTAAAAAAAAATCAGCGTGGTTAACGATTACATACTATATAATACTAAAAAATATAACTTTTGAGTCACTGTTTTTTTTTTAAATCGTAACGGGTTTCTGGTGCCTCGGCGGACTGGTCGTATAATATTATTATAGTTCCTACTTTGCTTTTATATCGTTAACTTATAATATATAATATATTTAAATATGGAATTAGTATTTTATACTATCGGCTAATCTCAGAAACTACTGGACAGTTTTAGCAGTTCCAATTTTTTGTTGTTAGCTTAAATTTTTTAGTAAATTGATCTAACCTAAAATAATGGTAAAAATATTATCTAGTTTTCTCATTAGGTTTTTACAATAGTTCAATTTGTAAGTAAGTTATAAATATGTAATATATTAATATTTAAAAGCGCTCATAACTGTCTTAAAAATTAAAATACCGTAAAACACCAACAAAAAAAACTCAGATAACGCTTTTACCTTAATGTTAGTCAATAGGTCAATTCACTCATTCTATTATTTAAGCTAACCGCACAAAATTGGTACATTTTATTATATCATGCGTTAATAAGACGAAGACAACACAGGTGGTTACGACGTTCTCTTGATGTTCCTTACTAAATTAATAATGAGGCCACCTATAAATACAGCGGGATCTCCGTTCTGGACGAATAAAATCAACTGTTTGGTGAGAATTATTTAGGAACAATACATTATAAATTGTAGTTTTATTTTAAATATGCAATAGGTATAGTCATTTCCATCAATTACGTTTACTGTAAAAGTAACCACAATATAATAGTCTTAGACCACCGTCCATGGTTGTAATTCAATAAAATAATATTGCAAGTAGCAACAGCTTTCTTATTTCACTGGAATATATCATAATAAAATAGTCGATGTGAGATATTATATTGATATTGTAACTGTGACCATATTATTTTTTTGATGTGTCGATGGTTTATTTTTTAATTTACTCTTATCTTATTTTACAAAAAATAAATAAATAAATAAATAAGCTTTCGACAAACAATATAAATGTTTGCAAAAATATAGAAATTGTGAATTTTTTTCTCGGAAACGATCAAAAGAAAATTAATAATTATAATTTCTTTTTCAGCATCATATAGAAACAAATCTATTTGTACAAATTGAATTTAAAAATCATTATATATAGGTATTATGATTTAATATGAAAATGGAAATTGTATATAAACCAGTATACAAAATATATTAGATAATTAACTTATGGCTAGTCGCAAATCTCTAAATCAAAATAGAAAAGGTCCAAATTTTATCATTATTAAATATTTATATAAAGACAATACTAAAAACTAATAAAAATATTGATGATAACAGCATATTTAATATTCTGTTTTCGCGAGAATATTTTATTTTAAAATTTAAATTTACCTGATAGTTCCTCGGTTGTCTGTTGGAAATTTGTTTTGAATAACCATCATTGTAATCAGTATCCGAACGTTCTTTCGGTCGATTGGTTCTTCTGTAATTTTTTTCCACCTGTTGGCCAAAACGATCGTCGTTGTAGTCACCATCGTCATCATACCGATTCCTATCCATTTCTTCATCGTCTGAATGGTGACTTCGTGACCAATTACAAGAGTCTCTGACCACTGATCTAATCATGGGCATAACGTTTTCTCTACGTTGTCGTTCAAGACGCTTCTTTAGTTCTGATTGTTGCTCCTCAATCCGTTCTTTTTCCAGCATAAGGAACTTTTCTTTGGCATCCTTGAATCTCTCTCGTGGAGATTCTCTAACTGTCAAACGATTTGGAGACGGTGTCCTCTGTCTAATTTCTACAGGTTTTTTCCTGTGTTCAGGCACGGTTATGGGCATCTGCGCAGAGTTCTTGGTCGCATCACAATTTCTCGGTCTCGGTTGGACCAACGCAACATTACGATCTGAATATTTTTCTCTCAGATTTGGTGAAATATTATTATTATTATTATTATTATTTAAGTTTTGGCGTTTAAAATTTGTAACATTGTTATGTTGTTGTAGCTCTTGTCTCCCATTGTAATAGTCTTTTTCTGGTGATGTAACTGGACTACTGCTACTGTCAACACCACTGTCTTGTCTCCTGATTCTGGGTAACGGATGCTCATTGGTTGGTTTTGCAAACAATGGTTCTTCTAACGGACTCGCGTTCCAGTCATCATCTAAAAATATATTTAAATAGCTTTATTAAAAATATGTATTGTATAGGTGTAGGTATTTAAATAAAATAATAATTATTAGTCAAAAAATAATTCTTAATATTATGGTTGTCATCGTTGTTTTTTATGTTAACTTTAAACGTAAAAAATTACCATATAGCCTATGAAACCTTATAAAGACAACAAACGAAATAACAAATTATTTTTAAACGTATTAAAATAAACTGGTTTTAGCAACCGTTTCAGTTACCCACCAAAAATGCAAATATTTATGTAGGTTAATTTAACAAAAATAACATGATTTATTCGGAGACATATAATTATTTATAAATAGGTACGATTTATTAACTTCTTTATGTCTATAACAGTGTAATTTTTAATAAACGTCAAGTAAAACTACTAATTGTATCTATGTATAATGTATATATTATTGAGCTATAATTATTTTTGACATGACTAAAATTATAAAAAAAAAAAAAATTTATTCAATAAAAATCAATTTAAATTTTAAATTATGATTGGTGTTTATTACGTATTATAAAATAGCTGATAAAAATAGTTTTAAGGACGACTTAAACACGTTTTTTATTATTATAAACAAGCTATAGCTAATAAATAACATGTGTATTATATAAACTGCTCGTATATGATAAATTATAAACCAACAATCAAAGCGCCTTGCTAATAACAACTTTAAAAGTTGTTGTTATTCTGCACTAAAATTAAATATTATATTCGTATTGTTTCGGTTAACCGATTAGGTTAATATACTTAAACAGTTTACCTAGAAAACTAAAATTTTATGTTTTGACCTCGAGAAATACTTTTCTCTTGACGACGCCGCTCAAAACGCTGACCGAAGTAAAGTATATTATGAATATGAATAAATAGTATATTATTATTCATTATAATTAATAACCATTACAACAATATGCATGTAAAAGACGACCGCAAGTTAAACTATACGGATATAATTGATTGAACGCATATCGAATTAGTTACAACTAAACGTATAGGCACAATATAATATAAGACTTAGATTAAACGTATCGATATATGAAAATAGTAGTACTCGCCGTTTATGTTTACACTATACATTTACAATATTTGTAGCAAAACAATTGTAGTTTTATTTTAATCGTCTATCCGGCACAATTCACACGGTTTTTTATTCAGCCACTGCAAGAGGGCATGAGAAGGAGGTCATATTACGTATGAATTGGCGGTTCGCCACAAAATAGAATCGTACACAAAAAGCCACGGAATTGTATTGAACTACAGAACACGATATATATACCTATATTTTGTACAGGTCTCTATGTATTTTTATGTAGATATTGGACCTATGAAATTATTTCTCTACACAAAGATGACTTAATAACCCACAGCTACCAGCTACATATAAGTTGGTACAGTTGTAAATTACAAACAGGCGTAAACTAGTATACGTAAGTGGCGAGGCGGCAACTGTTTACCTATAAAAATTGATGAAGGCATTGCCCCCTTTTTATAATTTAATAATATTATCAAGAATAATTTTTAATTTTAAAAATTATTTGGTGAATAAAATGAATAATTTTATAATGTTAAAAAAATTATCGATTAGATTTATGTCTAGCGTTGATTGTTGTATAACAATCGATATTGTAATTATATGGTTAGAGTAATTTAATGATAATAAATTTTCCAATTTATGATTTGTAAAAATTGATAAGAAAATCTACATTAAAACTTAAAAATGCATACAATTTTACATGAAATATAATTTAATCTCAATAAAAACTACGCAAATAATGCCGAATCGGCGAAATTTGCTTATACGAAAGATAGCGTATCCAAATACATATATCGATACGTAGCAGTAAAAATTAAACTATTGTCCTTATAAAACTATTTATGTATCCAAATTAGTTGGAGAAATAGAATAAATATAAAATAATATTTTTAGTGGATTACTATTATTATATTTACAGTCTAAAAATAAAACATATAATTTATTGACAGAATGCATGACTTCCTTCTACAGGCCCACCTAAACTAGTATATTTTATGGATTACTGTCGTTATTATATTTATTATGTGAAAATTATTTTATTTATAGATTTTATAACTTACGTTAAATACCAGTAGTTAAAATTTATTTAAAACTCATATCTATTGCTGTAAACTTAAAAACAAGTAATTATTAATTATTAAAAATGCAGTATTTTAAATTATTGCGACATTCTCATAATTATATTTAAAATGTATAATTTTAAAAACATGTTTTATTAATTAGGTAATTATATATTTTAAATTGTAAATAGTTATATACAAGAGATTACTAAAAATTCGTATGGAGAAAGTGCACCAGATGAATTTTACTCAAGTGCTCCGGGCCATTTACCGTTATTCAACTTGGCATGCAGTAACGCATGCTTGTGTTTCTTTTTACAATCGATATTTTTGTAATGATTAATTCATCACTATAATAGGTGGAGAAATTTAAGTCTACAATTTATAATGAAATGAAACAAAATTTAATTAAGCACGAATATTAATACTTATAATACTTATACGGTCGGTATTGCCGTATTGGTATATAATATTATAATATATTATGGTAATATGACGTGTATACGATAATCGGTGATCATTATTTTCTGTTGGAAAACATGTGTATTTATATTGTGATTATATTTTGTTTGATTGACGGTGTAGGAAGTGTTTACGAACAAAATCTATATTATTATAAAAATATCTTTAATTCTATAGCCATAGTCAAATGACAAATACGTATACAAGTATAATAAAACGTACGGTATGCCTTGTTTGGCCGTCATATTCGGGCGAAGATAAGACGGTTTTCATCGTATCGACGACCTCTGACTCAAACCATGTCTATAATAATAATTATCTTGGCGAAGAATCGTGCCGTGTGAAAGTCCTGCGATTGGACGCTATCACGGCTCTCTTTACCAAACGTCAAAAGATATTCAGAATCAAAATAAATAGTCTACATGTATACGGTTAACCTGAAAGGTATATAATATGCATCAGGAGTTCTGTTGAATTTCCTCTGCGTGTTATAGTATAGTAATATTATAAAAGACTTTAGAATTGAATGAAGCCGGTTGTCGGGTGCTGCATTTATAACGCAAGGAGTACATAAAATTTCATCTCCTTGCGTTTGTTACGTATATAATGTCACGAGCAATCTTATGAATTTGCTGGTCTACGTTTGCTTTACGTAGTGTTTTTGGGCAACGTGTCAAAATACTTTTTTGCCAGAAATCAGGGTAATAGGCACGTTTCCAAATCAAAATAAACATTGCACGAACCGTGACTTGATTAAAAAAATTATAAATTTAAATGTTATTTTATTACTAAATTACTAACTATATGAAGAGATACAATTTTCCTGTCAATACCTAATCTACAGTTTTTGCACTTTTTAGTTGGTTTGGCCATTATTATAAGCTAAAACATATTTGTTAATTATGACTAAAAGTGTGACAATTAGTTATAATATACCTACTATACTAAAATGCACTAAAATATTTGTATCTCATTTTGAATTTGGGCTACTGCAGAGTTTCAAATTAATTTTAACATACTGTACAGTATGCATAGACTATTACGAATATTTCAATAGTAATTTGAAAATAAATCCTAGGTGAAGAGATAATCAGTATAATATACATTACTAGGTATGTTAGAAAGTAGTTTGTTTAGAGATAATAAATATTCAATATTTAGGCAAAACCATAAAATTATAATTTGTTTAATTAAGTACCTTTATCACTTATCCATATTATTACTCGAATTTATTCACTACATTATAATTTATTATTCGGACTTCATGACAAAAAAATTATCAAAATTTAAAATTGTGCATTTATTTTTTATTTTTTATGTTTATCATTAGGATTAAAAATGTTTGTATTGAAATATTTAGAGCAATAGTATAATATACTAGATTGGATAGTTAAAAAAAAAATAGATTCGAGGAAAGATCATTTTCCTTAACGTTATGAACAATAATATATTTAATTATAATAGATATATACTATATTCAGTTGTGTTGTCAAGAAAAGGGGAAGGGGTTATATCTCTGTATATATAATATTTAGTATTTTATGACTTAACAGTATTAACTAAATCTTGCAGGTGTTACATAAGCGTAACAATAAAAAATCTAACAATCATATTATTTTATCAATAAACATTAGACGTTACATTATCATTCAAGAAAGTGTTAAGCTTCTCCCTACCCTGAATAAAAAAATCCTGACCCTCGTTATTGGGTATATTTATAACTATTGTTTAACATAGACATTTTGGGGATTCTATACGTTATATATATATATATATAATGTGCTGAAACTACGCGAAAATAGCGTTAGTTTGGATACCTATAATTCAGCTTTTCAAGTAATTTTTTTTCAAAATGTTAAAGAAAATACTTTAAAATATCTAACTAAAGATTATTAGTGCCTAGTGGGGGAAAAAAAATGTTTTTATAATAATATATATGGTATAGTCTATAGTATAGATTCTATACTCAATAATACTATTATAATTATTATTACATGAAATAATTATAATTTTTATCGTCAATAACTAAAAAAAAAAAAAAAGAAGCTAAAAAAAAACCCAGGGGTTCCGCAATAAGAGTGAATATCAAAAATAGTTCCACGGATAAAAAGTTTAAGAAATTCTGACCCATATAATACATATATATATATATATAATTATCTATGATTTAATATTATTTCACTGTTTTATGAAATATACGTTTGTTACGATTTCCTAATAATTACAAATGAAACGCATGTAAGAATTACCTCTTCGCAAATCATAATTTTCAAAAACCACATTAATATAATTACTATAATTCTAACAGCGTTAAAATTACTAATCATTACCGAGTTTACATTATGTACATGAAATGTATGAATTTTCTGAATAAAATATAAAAATTATAAAATATTATAAAGCTTTGCAGTATTATGCAATGAGAA